GCTCTCTCCTACGTGCTCTGTGTATCATTGCTCCCGCGCAGAAGGCAACCCTTCCACTTTTGCGCTTCCTACAATTTCTTTTTCTTTTTTCTTCACTGTCCACCCAATTTGAACCAATGCTTTCATTTTCGTAACCACACCAGTTTGACCTCTTGGGCGTGCCTTTGAAGTGCCATTGCCTGCGCCCTCTCGCCGTAATAGCAGTTCATGATTGCAGTAGCCTCTTACCCTTTTGCCATACAGTACAGGAGCCCCATGCCCCATCCTGGAGTCTTATTCCTCTGCGAGGCTCAGCCCTGTGCTCTTATCCCTTACCTTGGCATTCGGGCCGACTTAATCGCTTTTCCTGATCGACTGTACTCCAGCCTTTCCTGGCAGAGAACACAGAGGAAAGCTCATGTTTGGTCACGTTGGTCACGTAACCGTACAGAAGAGGATACTGTAGCGATGGATTCTCTGCATATTTCATTTTTTATTGCGGAATTCCAGTGAATCACTGCCTAGGTGTTACTCCAATGAACTGCCAGGCCTAGTTGACATAGAGCCAATCAGTATTTGATGGAGCCTTGATATGTGCGATTGTCTGACCTCCAAGAACGAGTGCGATCTGTGCCTGCCAGTCACCCTGTAAAATGTACTGCAATAATCAGAATACGAAAAATCCTAATATTCAGGGAAAGTGTTTCAAAAAATTAGGAGAGCATCATGTATTCAAAATATGGATGGAATCGCAATTCTTTTTCATGAAGAATAAAAGGGGAACGTTTGACTCCTCCTCGCCGATGCGCCACGCATCTCACTTCCTTTTGGAATCGTAACTGCATTTGGATGTGATTTACCTTACACGACCAAAAAATTGCTAGACCAGTCAGGGTTTCTTCCCCTCAAAGAGATCTGGTACCAATTTTCTGATGGATAGAAGGCCCAGATGGTTTGAGAGAGATTCGAACAGGGGCTTGATCACTGAATCGCACGCTTTCGCTCGTTTCTTCGGTATTCCAATAAATTTGCTGAGATTTATAACATCCCTCAGCACGCTTTGAGTGGAACCAAAAAACATCCTATCGCCTCAAAGAGCTTGTGAAGAAACGAACAGATTCCACCTGCTCCGAAAACCCCGCCTACTGAGCTGCCTAGCAGAGCCGGTGGCAATTGCTGTGGTCAAGATAGCTCCTTAAATCAGCGCGCATATTCAGGAACTTGGATACGCTTACTTCTCAGATTCTTGAGGAAATAGCAACGGACCCTCAAAAAGAGCTCAGCGGAACTTTTGGAAAGCTCGTCCGCTGGGAACAGTTCACAGAAAATTGCACGGGTTGGAGTAATTAAAGGCTGTATAATTCTGGGAACCCATGCAGGGGAGGGGGTCGAAAAAAGCTAAAAATGGTTTTGAGGAAGCAAGCTGGCTTCGAAAAAGGTTTTGTTCTTCAGAAACTCGTCACTGGGATGCGCCACGCACTCTATTTCCTTTCAGAATTTGCGTCGTTGAATAGTGCTAGATAAGGATAGGGATGGATTCTGTTGCGTACCGGATTTTTAACAAATGCAGCGCAATTTGTATATGGCTTGTTGAACTGTATTTCGAACAGGTTCTTCCTAATGGCACACACATTAAATTAAAGCTCCTACCTTAACGACAAAGTTGTTCAAAGCGCTGCTGATTGCTGGCAGTTTGATGATGTTCGACTGATGAGCCTCCTTCTCAATCTGAAAAATTGGCCGGTTAGGCTGTTGCTAGGGCAGCCTGCGAAAAGTAGTTAAGCATTGGTACAAGTAATTATTACCACTTCCATGTCGTAGCTGCCGGGGGTGCTGAGCATCTCCAAGAACTTGTCACCAATCTCTGGGTAGATCTTGTGATGGCTAAATCATATTTACTGGGCGAATATATGGGACAAATTTTGAGACAAATTAAGCCTACCATGCCTCTGGTGGTACTTGAGCTTTCTTTGCGACTCCATTATCGCAGACAGTTCCGATGAAGATCGAGTTCTTTTTCAGTGTCATCTTGAACTCGGCCGTTTTCATGTCGGTATTTGGTGAACTAACAACAACCTTACCTGAAACATAAAGGCTGTCAGAATCAACTCATCCAATTGTCTTTGAGATTTTCAGAGTCTCATACCCACATTGTTCAGTTAGGGAGTTCGAACGGTTGCGGAAGAACGACAACAGAGGGATATGTGGCGCTGCGCGCGACATCTTCATTACAGCCCCAGCGAAGGTAGCGTATTACGCCACGATGCGCGCGGAGAGTCAGTTTTGGCACACACGGAATTGAGATCTCCTGACCCACACCTCGTACTTTTTGGATCTCACATTCCTCCGAAACTCTTTTTTCCCTTTATGGATACATAACCGGTTCTTTGCCCTATGTTTTCTCATGGGCGAAAGGTTTACATGAATTGGGAACGCGTAAATTCTTCACTGAACCTCCGAGTTTCAAGAAAATAGTAGTAACAGTTTCAGAATTTGGAAAATATTCTGCGTAGTTTCAAAATTTGGACAATTTTCTGCAAGAAATGATGTCTCGGCGGCTCGGAGGACCCTCGGAAACCATGGACCACCTTTCTCTAGGCCTCTTCTCAGCCATTCAGCCCAGACTTGCGTTCCGTTTTTCACAGTTGAAGTTATTACCTTTATAACCACAGGCAGAAACCTCACTGCAATCTGGACGTGATGAATACCTGCTCCCCTCCCCTTTCCTCTTTCGACTAGAAACGATCGATATGACTACCGTAATCTTCAGCACTATGCCCAACGATCGATATACCTACCGTAATCTTCAGCACTATGCTTACAAAAGAGCTTGTAGGGAAGGAAGAAAGAAGATTGAAATTGTTTACGGATTCAGTCTTGTACTTTAGATTTTGACCAGCTTGATGAACCAGGAAGAGACAGGCAGCGCTACGTAGTAGCAAGAATGGGTTCATTGCGTCGAGGTTCTGAGCCACATATCCCTGCTATGAAATGCTATGGTTTCTGGAGTTGTAGTGATTTTCCTACGAATTCTCTGCATATCTTGGAGGATGGATGTTGTAACCAGTGGACATTATCCTGCGCGGTTTTGGGGTCAAATTCCTAATTGAATCTTGTCCAGGCCCATCCAAGCTCTCAAACTCTGTGGGTTATGTATTGGTGTCAAACTCGCAGCGCAGAATAGATTCACTAACTTGGGCATCATCTGTCTCATGGAACTTCGAACCAAAAATCGACACTCATTACCAGTACGGGTTCGAGTAATAGTAGAGTGTGGTCGATCCTTAGAGGAAGTTAATGGCCACGAATACTTTCTCCGTCGACTGCAAGGATTTAGGGGTATAGCGCAGCGATGGCGACGAGAGGTCGTTGCCAGAAAGAGGGGTTTTTCAAAGTGAACGCATGGACTGACAGAAACGCTGCTTGTGCGGGATCGTAGCTTTCCGCCAAGGGAATTCACGAGCTAGAGAAAATTCCCCAGCTTCATCTCTTCCCGCCAGTCTTGGATTTTCTGTGGTCTTGTTCCCATTCTTTCTCGTAAACACCTGCCGATCGAACTCAAACTAAGGAGTCTTCTATCCTCAGAGAACCAGTGCAAAGCCTTCTTCGCCCCTTAGAGTAAACGCTACCTTCCCTAGTCGAGGAGGGACTTACCTATCCACACTTTTTTCCGAACAGGGCTACATTTGTCCAATTCGCAGTAAAGTTGCTACCAAGCTAGCGTGGAGCCACACAATGTTGGCATCGGGAAATAATATGGCTTAAAGAATTGTATTATTCGAATTATGATTCAAATTAGTCTGAAGATTTACGGCAGATTGAGAGTCCAAGACGTTGGCGTATCCCATTCCTCAAGGTCTGCATGGTGTAGTAAAGCAAATTCCTCAGCACACCTACCGTCATGAATATCCTTAATCTGGACGACATTGTTGACACCGTCCACACATGGTTTCAGATTCACTGGAGGTACAATTGGCGGAGCCGCAAAGGCAAAGGTGACGAGCGCAAGACTGAGAACTGGCAAAGACATCCTGAAAGGATAATATGAAAGACCTTGCGCGGGTTACGGTAGAACTACGGTAGCTGTGGAGGAGAAGAAGATTTTTCCGATAATCACTTCACTACGAGCGCAGCTTATATTCACATGGTTATCAGGAAGTTCATTTCTATGGGCTTAAACTGTTTTCATCTGATAACTGATAATTTATCACCCCACCGATCAGCGAAAAGAATCTGATCCGTTGCACTATTGAGCGACTATCGATCACCGATGTACACTCACGATCAAAGAACCAAACCGTCTGCGATTTTTTTCATGGAAGAGGTTTGGGAATAGTGCTGGATTTGTTGGAGGGTTCAAATCTACGCTCTCATCTGAACAAGTTCCAGAAATAGCCGCCTGGGTGGAAGTGGTGTAGTGGTGGATTACTGCGCGCACAAGAGAGATCAAATTCCGGGCGTGAGTTGTTCAGAGCGCAAGCCTTCCATTCCCCGTCCCAAATGCTAATGCATGGGCCAAACCACACCTAGGTGCCGCTACGATTTTGAATGAAAGAAAAATGTGTGGCGCATCCAAAAAGAGATTGCACACCGGGTTCTTTGCCCATTACATTTTTAGAGCTGCCTAATCCTCCACCTAGGTGGATTTGTTGACGTTTTTGGGCCGCGAATGAGCTCGCTTCCTTCGAAGCATACCGCTGAACAATGCAGCATCTGCAGGAGCTCTTGGATGGATGGTTTCAACACACGAAATGATTGACAAGCAAATGCGAAGGGATGTTTCTGTTAGAAAAATACTCTGCAAACACGACCTTTCAACTCTACCATATAATGGTTAAAGAAACCGTTCACATAGTATAACTGATAACTTATGGAATGTCAGTAGGGAGTCACGCGATTTCGAAAGGGCATAACAATACCAATTACAATTGATCTCAGTGATAGTGAGTTATAAACAATTTGCCTCAGCCATCACATCGCTTTGAAAATGAAATACTATGGCTCTATTGCACGGACCATACCGTATACAGGGCGGAAGTGGTGTAGTGGCAAGTGGCACGCTTACCACGCGAGCGGTCCGGGGATCAAATCCTGGGTCGTGAGTCGCCCGGGCCAACCAAGCCTTCCATCCCTCCGGGGTCGGTTAATTGGTACCAGACTTGTCTGGGAGGATAAAAACACTGACTTGTACATCGGCTGGCCCCGCAAGTCATTGTATAGGCCACATCGCATTCAAACGCCACTACGAATGTACAAATGGAAGTAGAATGCGTGCCGCATCCCAAAAGGGATTGATCAACGGCAAATGCTTTATCCTTTATCCTTTATACCGTATCCAAGTGCCACTATGATTTCGAATGAAAGAAAAATGTGTGGCACATTTTGAAAGGGATTATCGATGCCAAGCGCTTCACCCGTTATATTGCTGCCTACTGCTCCATCTAGTTGGATTCGTTGACGCTCGTGGGTCGTGAGTGAGCTTGCTTTTTTCACGACTTACATCTATACAATGCGGCTTCTGTAGGAGCCAGCGCTCCTTTGAGTCTTTTGTCGTCGTTTCCTTGTGTAGTGGGTCGTGAGTGAGCCTTGGCGTTTTGAAGTCTAGAGCCTTCCTTACAGGGTGGTTTTTCAGCGAGCATCTAAATTTACACTTTTGAGTATTCAATCCAAGGTAAATTAGCGGACGGAGTGGCAAGTAACGCCCTTACCGCTAGCATGTCGCAGACTGTTGTACTGAAAATCGAATAATGAATTGTATCCCCAATATAACGGACCACAGAATTTTTCAAGGTTAATTAATTGGGTCATTGTATGGGTCAATTCGCACTGAATCCCTGCTGAATTCTGCTAAGGGCGAATAGGCGTGGGATTCGTGAAGAAATTGTTCACCAAAAAATGTTCCATTCTTTGATCTTTGTGGCAGAAAGAATGTTGGGCCGTTTCGACGAATTACTCTTTGCTCAGCTTCTCTATGAGAAAACCATAAGATTGACCATTTTTGGAAACCTGGTCTAGTTGAGCTGTAATGGACAGCTGACAAGAAAGGCCATGCACAGAAGGAATGATCATGCGATTTGCATTTTCTAAGCTTCTGGGAATCTGCTAAAAGGTGGCTCGACGAAATAGTGCTGATAGGGACTGATAGTGGTTTCGACTCACGAAATGATTGACAGGCGAATGCGAGTGGGTTTTTCTGCTAGAAAAATACTCTGAAAACACGACCTCTCGACCCTACCATATAATGGTTAAAGAAACCGTTCACATAGTATAACTGATAACTACTGGAATGTCAGCAGAGAGTCACGCGATCTCGAAAGGGCATGACAATACCAGTTGATGGGCAAAACAATTTGCCTTAGCGATCACATCGCTTAAAAAAAGTGTGGAGGATGGACTACATCGCAGGATTATACGACAGCCTGCTTTTGACCGTTTCGCTAGTGTTCTCCATGGCGAGTCGAGGCATGCGGTCTTTTGGCGCTCTACCAACTACTGAACGCGCTTCACAACTATAGCTTAGAGGCAAAATTCAGGACCGAACTGGTGTACTGTATCTTGTTGGCGTTTGCAAGTGACAGGGGAGACATTAAAATACGAGTTAGGATTAGGGCGTCATAGAGGCCTTTTCGAGTCCACACTATGGCCAGGACTTTGTTCAGAGGAGGTGACGCCTGGACACGCTCTTGATCGAGATTGCGCAGCGACAAGGCTGGCGGCTACTTCTCACAGCAGCTGGTCCGCCCACCAGCGGGATGTGTGGCTGGCTGGCTAACGTGTGAAATCAGCTAGGTTGATTGCCGTATCAACCGATGGAACGGCTGGCATATCCGGAAAACTCGTTTGGACGTGGCTCTCCCCCAAGCAAGCCTCCTTCACTGCTAGTGGGAGGGGTTTCGTTTTCGGCCTTGTCGACGGTTTCTTTTCGTTTTTTCTCCACTGTCGTTCCATTTCATCTCCACTCTCTCCATACTCAGTTTCAGTCGCCATAATACCCCATATTGAGCCCGACTTTTGCCTTTAAGTGCAATGCAGCCAATGGAAAACTGGGAGGAAACTGTCGGTAAGGCCGAAATAAAAAATTCTCTTCTCCGTAGCACAAAGCGACATAGCATTTATTGTGGGTGGGTTAAATGTTGTTGGGCGGGGCCAATGCAGCATCCTAGGGCTTTAGTGCCCTGATATCGATTGTGTGACATTAGCGCTTGAATTCTTATCTTCAGTATTGGAGAGCATAAATGAATACCTCGCCTCCCTCCCCCTCCTTCCGCCGAGCCCCAGCTTCACCACTTCCATGTATAACAAGAAGTGTAAAGTTGGTGCAAACGTAGTTGGAGGGGGCCAAGCTGCGGCGCGGAGCTCTGCTTGTCTGCTCCCTTGAGGCTTAGTCCCACGGAAAGTTTACCACGACGAGTTTCGAAATACAGCGGCAACGCAGACTAAGTCTTATAGGCGCAGACCAGAGCAGAGGCAACAGCGCCGCCGCGTGCCCCCCCCCCCCTTACCGGAGAATTTTTTATGTGCTACTAAATGTAATAATTAGTCACGAAGCGTAAGATTTTGCAGAATTGGTGTTGTATTAGCCATGATATACTATTCTCGTTCTTTTTCCCTGACTTCTCCCCTTGGAGACTGGTACGTCGTTTTAGACGTATGGATAAAAAAATAAAATAAAAATAAAATAAAGTAAGTTGAAATAAAATATAATATACTTTATTCCCAAACAAAAAATATACATACACACTAGATGTACAACATAAAATTTCGGCTGAGAATTGAATCTCAGATTACTTGCTGCTCATACAGGACTAGGGGTAGGATGACCGGGCGAATATCATGAATTTAGCGTCATCGGTTCCAGTCCATACGTTACCCTTCTCGTCGGTTTCGTACCCGTTTCTCTGGAAAAAATAACTGAATTATCCAGGAGTATGACTCATCGAGGAACACACTTATGAAACTCACCCATGCCTTCGTTTCTGTACCATACCAGGTTCAAGAATATCGTCATTCAAATAATTCTTACCGCTAGACCCCTCCTCCCTTACCAATACCCTCTTTCAGATGTCATGTCAGACCAGTTGATTCAAATCGCAGCGGGACTAATGCGAGCGGAGCGGAACATGGTTGGTGGGCTATGACAGTTGAAGGCACCCCTCCCCAGCTGTCCATCTCTTCCGACCCATCCCTCGGATCAAAATGGTGTGATTCTTGTACACTGAAAAGGAGGATGCTATACCAAGTGAACCCCCAATCGAGAAAAGGGAAAAGAACTCGTAGAAAAGGCTAAATTCACAATAGGAGGAGAACGCGGCGTAACCAATCACTGTGATGAGCGCGACATGTTTCGGTCAGGTTGGTGGAAGACAGGAAATTGAAGGCCAGTTTATGAGACCTTCTAGGTTTTTCTAGTTTTTTTTTTTCAAAAAACTTCCAATCAAGAGAACTGAAAATCAAAGGAAAGGAAATGCAAAGTTCACCTTGTAGTGATCAACGTAGTACGGTGCTTGTGTGGGAAACTGTGGCAAAAACTTTAGTCCTTCCCATGGATTGAACACCGGTTGCTGATTGAAGAACTGCTGAGCAGCAACCATAGTGAAGAGCACCGAGGCGATCAGCAGTCCTTGCGGTTGCATATTATCTGAAATAACTATTTGAATTTTCATGCTGAAACTCAAGAAAAGGACGTACATCGCAAGATAGCGGGGCACTGGTGAAGGCAATGTACATATTTAGGAAAGCGTAAACATCTCCTTTCTGTTGGGATCGAGACTAAGCCTTGGGTTGTTGAGGAGCGACTCCAAGAGCGATTTTCGCTTTCCCCGTCTTTCCCTGTCTCCCCTAGGCTGAGTATCAAAGTATGCCCCCTTATCATGCGATAGCGCCGAAAATAGTGTACAAACCCTCTATTCTGGAATTCGAGAGAGCGTCGAGTGCAGACCACACACCTACAAGTTACGACAGCCAATAAAATAGAGAAGAAAAATCACTTTTTCTTGGCCGTCGTCATTTGTGGTGTGTGGTCTGCACTCG